GGGGGGGGGGGGGGGGGGGGGGGGTAGTGTTTGTATTTTTTGCTTGTGCTATGCCGATCAACTTGCTACACCCACTTCACCTGCTTCAGACCAAAATAAAAAGAAAATTCCGCTTCCTATCAATATTTCGGAACACCTATCAACTCAAATATTCACATTTAACAAATCTTAAGGGTTCTTGTTAGAAGTTACGCCTTTGTATCCCAGAACAAGGGAACATGATAGTTTTACCATCTCACTAAAACGTTGCGAAGTTTTTGAAAATTAAATTGCAAAAGTTCAGACCAAAACAGATAAAAAATAGACCATACTGGCGACATGTACCTACTTCGACATTTACTTATATACCGCAAAATTCCGATCGCAATTCTTCGGCTTCGTTTTGTTCAAAAGGCTTTTTGGTGGACTTGGTTCGGACTCGATAAAAACCGGAGGCGTCTGAAAATGTTCATGTGGATACGAGCCAAACGCATACATGGAAAGCGACTGCTCCCATGCCAGCTTCTTTTCATCAGTTCTGATTACCACTTCGGAAATTAACGCGCGGTGGCGTTTATGATTTGTTTTATCTCACTTCCTGAGAGATTTCAATCTTTAATCTTTAATCTTCTTCTCAGGCCCTTCTCAACCCTAACCACTTGAAAGTACTGTCACAGGGGCGACTCCTATATGAAAAAGGTTGGAGAGGCTCGTTGTCTCGCTTAGGGGTATCAATCAAGGATTCTGGTCTCACTCTGAGGGTGTTGATGACGAAATGCCACTGATTTAGCCATCAAAATCTCTCAGGGTGCACTCACAGATATAATAATAAAATAAACGCTCTCATTTCCGTTTTTAGGCCCGATTTCCGCCGGTCTCCCGAGTCCGGTCTTTTAGTAGGGGCTTCTTCCCTGGATAGCGGACTGTAATCGAACCTATTCCGTTTTCAATGGTATCTTTTAGGAATAAAATAAAGCTCAAGCCACGCCCAGGTTGATCTCCTTTAGGGGTTAAATTCAAATTTTCCGACAAGCATCCCCGACCGTTTCATATGGTCCCTCACCCTCCCTCTCCCCCTCCAAGGTGTAAGACTGAGCAGTCTTGGGAAAGGACATGACACAGTAAGGAAGAAAGGAAATAAATTTCACGCACATATAATCTGGCATTCTCTGGGTGTTTGTAGAGCTGGCTCGTAATACGTCGAATGACCATTGACTAATTTCTACCTTAGTCATGCAGACCAAAAGCGGCGCTTTAACAAAGCCCGTTGCCTCCAAGATACGGTGAGCTCGATTTTGTTCTACCACCGGACGATTTACTAAAATAGTATTTTGTGTGGTGACTGGTTGATTTTTGATGTAACAATTGTTTTGGCACTGGTTAGTTGGGATATGGCATCATTTTACCGTGGACCAAATTGAGGTAATTGCACACACTCAATATATATGGTTGGCCATTCGTTTCAAAATTACGACAGGTTATACGCGGGTTTTTCTGCCGCGTATACTTGTTTATATACGTTACGTATGGGCTTTAAGCTCATATATACGANAGGGTGCACTCACAGATATAATAATAAAATAAACGCTCTCATTTCCGTTTTTAGGCCCGATTTCCGCCGGTCTCCCCGAGTCCGGTCTACTAGTAGGGGCTTCTTCCCTGGATAGCGGCCTGTAATCGAACCTATTCCGTTTTCAATGGTATCTTTTAGGAATAAAATAAAGCTCAAGCCATGCCCAGGTTGATCTCCTTTAGGGGTTAAATTCAAATTTTCCGACAAGCATCCCCGACCGTTTCATATGGTCCCTCACCCTTCCCCTCCCCCTCCATGGTGTAAGACTGAGCAGTCTTGGGAAAGGACATGACACAGTAAGGAAGAAAGGAAATAAATGTAACGCACATATAATCTGGCATTCTCTGGGTGTCTGTAAAGCTGGCTCGTAATACGTCGAATAACCACTGACTAATTTCTACCTTAGTCATGCAGACCAAAAGCGGCGCTTTAACAAAGCCCGTTGCCTCCAAAATATGGTGAGCTCGATTTTGTTCTACCACCGGACGATTTACCAAAATAGTATTTTGTGTGGTGAATGGTTGATTTTTGATGTAACAATTTTTTGGCACTGGTTAATTGGGATATGGCATCATTTTACCGTGGACTAAATTGAGGTAATTGCACACACTCAGTATATCTCCCCCAAAATTTGATCATTCGAATTGCGCGAAAGTGAAAGATCAGTATCGACCTATCGTGACAAGCTATATGTACTTTACGCAATGAGCCGGCTATAAACTAATAATTACTTCACGTTTCATTTTCAAATGGGAACCACTGCTGTCTGTCTGTGTGCATCAGTGCAATTCCATTTTCAGTGGCGACCTTTTGAGCTGATCAACTTATCCGTGTTTCCTCTTTTGTAAATAAGCTTCAAAAGCATGGAGAGCACAAGCGAAGAAACAGCATTGGACATCGCATTGTTAGTCGCTCAGTTCTTGGTTAACAGCCATCGTTACCAGAACGCTATCGATCTTTACGAAGAGATTTTGGTCATTTCCAAGCTAGAGTGCTTTCAAGCAATTTTCTATTTCGAGGATGTACAACTTTTTATACATCAACAGCTAACCAGCGCCTATTACTGCTTGGGGAACGCAAATGAGGCAGTGAAACACGCACAACGGGTCGTTAAAATGAGCATGGAAAACGGCAATCGAGCACAAGAAGCGACAGCCCTTGGTTGCCTCGGCTTGCTGTACGAGGACCTGAAGAAATATGACAACTCAATCGCTGCGTATGAAAGATCGCTTGGATTACTGGAAGAGATAGGTGATAAGCAAGCTGAGGTTATAGTCCTAAACAATCTAAGCTCTGTTTATGATGGTCTCCGTCAGTATGACAAATCAGTCACGTCCCTGTTAAGAGCGCTGGAAGTCCTGAAAGTGCTTGGCGACAGAGCTGATAAAGAAGATGAAAGGAAAATTTATGCCAACCTTGGTAAAGCATACCTCAGCCTCTGGCAACACGACGAGTCCATTTACTATAAGACGAAAGCTCTGGAAACCAGCCAAGCAATTGGAAATAAATCAGGAGAAGCATTTGACGCAATCAACCTCGGAAACTCGTATTTCGTTCTTGGAAAGTATGAAGAGGGGATCAAATATTTGGAGAGATCCCTCGCGTTAAACAAAGCCGCCGGAAACAAGCAAGGAGAAGTGAACAGTTCCTATAATCTTGCTAGTTTGTATACGGTCCTCGGAAGGTATGATAAAGCCATGAGCCACTTAAAGAGATCTCTTGATATCAGTGTTCAAATCGAGCACGAGCTGGGAGAAGCCAGATCGTACCTCGGTCTGGGTGAGGTATACCGCGGTAGAAGCATGTGGGAAAAATCAGTCACATTCCTGAAACGTGCGCTTGAAATAATGAAAGAAATTGAGGATAAAAGTGGAGAACTAATCGCCCATGAGTCCTTGGGAAGTGTTTATGGTTCCCGTGGCGATTATGATAACTCGCTTGAAAATTTTGAAAAAGCTCTAGAGATCAGTGTCGCGTTGGGGGACAAAAAAGGTGAGGCCTCGGTGTGCAGCAACCTGGGTGCCCTGTACCTCAATTTTGGTCAGTTGGATGATTCAGCCAGTTATCAAGAAAGAGCTCTCCAACTTTTAAGAGAAACTGGCGACAGAGAGTTTGAATCTTCGGTTCTGTCCAAGTTAGGAACTGCCAGCTTCGTCTGCAAGCAGAGTCCTAGCGAAGCAGTTGAGTATCTGAGTGAAAGCATCTCATGCAGCGAGAGACAGAGTGAAGGACTTGATGACCAAACGAAATTGTCACTCAGGGAACAGAGAATAGGGCGGTACCATGTCCTCTACGTGATTTTGATTTACATGGGGAGGTTTACCGATGCGCTGTACGCCGCTGAAAGAGGACGCGCCCGCTGTCTGGTAGATTTAATGGCAGAGAAGTATTCGATTGAAAACACGTCTCCACCAAGGAGAATTGGGGTAGAGTTTAGCGAGATGAAACGCCTTTCCTCGAACAAGCAAGTTAACATCGTCTTCATGACCACATCGTTGACAACCGTCTTTTTCTGGGTTATCAAGCAAGGCGCGGAAATCGCTTTTGTGGAATCAATTTGTGAACAGTGTTCTGAAGACGTGGAAACTACCCTGGAAGAGATGGTAACGAAGAGTCATCGGTCCGTCTGTGAAAATAATGAGGCCAAGTGCGAAGATCGCTCACTGAAGGCGCTATATGGAGACGTTCAAAATGAAGCGATGGACTTGCGCAATGTAGAGCTCACAGAGGACGAGGAGGAAGAGGAAATGAAGAATACAAGTTCAATACTGCATCTGATGTACAACATGTTAATAGCCCCTGTTGAGCATCACATCAAAGGTCAAGAAATCGTCATTGTTCCTGAAGGTAGCATGTTCAGGGTTCCATTTGCCGCACTGGTAGACGCCAGTGGAACGTTCCTGTCGGAGTCGTTACGAATTCGACTCGCTCCGTCTCTTACAACTCTCACTATGATCCAAGAACGCCAACACGATCTCCACATGGACCAAGAGGGCGGGGCTCTGATCGTCGGAGACCCGGACCTTCCTGGGATAATGAGACTGTCACCATTGCCTGGAGCTCGAATAGAAGCCATAGAAATTGCCCAGGAGTTGGGCGTGACACCGCTGGTTGGAAAACAGGCCACCAAACATGCAGTATTGCAAAGGATTCAGGAAGTAGCTCTGGTCCACATTGCTGCTCACGGAAGCTCAGAAAGAGGAGAGATCGCTCTCGCTCCCGACATTTCTCCTTCTCAAGTTCCAAAGAAGGAGGACTGTTTGCTGACCATGGCAGACATCGCAAAGGTTGGTATCCGAGCCAAACTGGTCGTGCTAAGCTGTTGTCACAGTGGTCGCGGAGAGATCATGAAAGCCGAGGGAGTTGTGGGTATTGCTCGCGCCTTTTTAGCTTCTGGCGCTCTTTCAGTTCTCGTGTCCCTGTGGCTGCTGGATGATAGTTCCACCAAAGAGTTCATGATTCGTTTCTACGGGCATCTAGTGCGTGATAAACTGAGTGCAAGTGAAGCTCTTCACCAGTCCATGAAGTGGATGAGAGAAACCAAGAAGTACACGGTGAGTGACTGGGCACCATTTGTTCTGATTGGAGATGACGTTAAATTTGACTTTAATCTGCGGAATGAACTAGTCTGACTTTCTCGAAATATCACTTCAGCTTTTTTCCACATTTGGTACTAGTTTTAAAGGCTTTGGTTTCAATGGAACATAGTCACAGGCACAATCACAGGCAAAAGTTAATGAGCGAGGTTAAGTTCGTAAAGCATGAGGCCGGGTTTTCGTTTGAGACATGATATGAACATACCGTATTCGACTAGCACAAAAAAATGTATCAAATAAAATAACTACATAATAAATAAATGAATAAAAATACAAGTCAATGCAATGATGCAAGGCTATAAATCTTTTGTTGTTGCAAAATCTACACGTATTCTATGGAAGAATTCAACAGCCCTTCTGGAATTAAAATTCAAGTGTAATTTCTGTTTGTTTTTTTACCTACCTAGCTTTGGGTGTATTTTTGTTAGTGACAACCCATCACATTTAGAAATGGTTAAACGACTTACGCCGCACGCTGGCTTTCCCTCGAAAAAGATTTTTACCATAATTGCAATTGCGATAAGATGGTAATGTTAAAAAAGGAAAAAAACAAAAGAATGCCACTTTAAGCTCAATACTCCAGAACAAAAATATACTTTATTTATACCGAACTGAATTTGAGTGATTTTACTGCTTTAAAGTCCGATGGAGAGTTTTTCATAGAGTCTCTTCAGAATAGACGATTCTATGTATTAAATTATTCGTCGCCTTACAATGGCCCTTTTTCAATAATATAGTATTAACAACAAAATTTTCGTTCCTAACTGGTTTTCTGCACGCTAATTTCATAATTGAAGAGCGATCACGAGAGCATCCATTTACAACAGATCTGACCAGGTATGTAATAACAGGAGAGTAGATAGGTTATTACCTGCTGTCTGGCAAAGGTTTTCGAAAATTGACCTAAGTGAATTTTGAATAAAAATGTCTAAAACAGGCGTCCTAACGTGATCCGTTTTACTATCGATAGCATCTATAGCTTGTTGAACTGAACGATGGAAAAAAGTCGCGGAGTAATCAGTTTGGAATCGCTTTCTCGACTACTCCAGGAATTGCACTCCATTCTATTGATCACCATTACAATATTCCCTTATTCTTACAAATCATTATCGCTTCACCGAACTCCTTGCGCAAGAGAGGCGCATAAGGCCTCGACAAGCCACGATTAGCAGAAGGTAAGAAACATCTGCAGTTGTAATAGGATACTAATTTCAAATTGTTCCCAACTATTTGTAATGAGCTGACCCTTTGCAATACATTAATATGAGGTCTGCAGGCACAGTAGGTATTCCAGGGCCAGTTGACACTAAAACAGGAAAAAAAAAAGAAAACAACATCAAAAGGTTGGCATATTGATAATAGTTTTAAAAGTTTGATGTTTTATAACTCCATTTATAGGAGTGTCAATAAAGCATTGTGTTGTGCTGTGCTTTTTGCAAAGTTTGCACATTTTTTGGTACGTAAAACCGTAGTTAGTAACTATGGTAAAACTTAATACTTTCCCTAAAAAAACTATTTCACAACATCAAACTGACACTGCCGACCATCGAAAGTTGTATTGGAGTTACTAAAGCACACAAAACCTTGCAAGTAATGGAATGGTAATCGATTTTCAGTTTACGTCCTATTATACCTGTAAGAAAAATTCGAGTTTTTCCGCGAGCTTGGAATGCCGATAAATTGAGATCTGTTCGTCGCTGTGCCTTCCCCTCCTCTCCCTCCCTGTTCTATACCAACCCACCTTAACTCGGATAATTGTTGAAAACGTATTTTAGGTATTAAAATTTACTCCGTAAATAATGTATTATTAGTAATAGAGTGGAGTACAGTTTCGGGAGTAATTGCCCGAGCCTGAGTAATCTCAAATGTTACAGATACGACTAAAACTATTAAATGATAAAATAACAATAACAAAAAGGCATACAAAGAGAGAGACGATTACAACCTAAAAGCAATGAGTCCCATTAAGGTGAAATATAATAATAATAATGATGAAAAAACCTTAGTAAAAATGTTGATGTAAATGTGTTTTTAAAACGTATGCACGAAGAATCTTGTTGATTCTCACCCTGAAAATTTACCCGTTAATCGGCGCTGTTTTCATTCTCTTGTTGCGTTTTGTGCTGTGCAAGTGCTGCTAGTCGCCTATCTCTCAAATTCCTTCTTTCATTCAGCTGACCTAGAGGCATGGTTTCAGCTAACGCCTTCTCAAGTTTGTCCAGTGTTTCACCGCCGAGTGTCCGAGGACCTCCCTGTTCCTTACAGACAGTTTCAATGTTGGCTCCGTACCTCTCACAGTAATCTCTGATTCCTAAATGGCAAACACTACACTTCAGTTGTACTCACATTTGACACTGCTAACAACAGGAGCATGTGTTTCAAGGTACGAATGCTGCTGTAAAAAGCTCATGCAGAATTTGATGAACCAGATCAGAAATTTGTCACTCTTTACATTACAATTTACATGGCCAGGCAAATGTTTCCCTTATCATGTGCATACGACCAACTAAGCAAGTAAAAAATCACGTTTCTGAACTGGAAAATCAACGACAGGATAGCTAGTTCATTTTGAGACCTTTCAAGTATCACGAACTTCAGGGCTGGAGACACGGCGGAACTTCTTTGTCAGTGTAACCTTTATGAGTTCCCTGTCTATCCGGACCTTGCAATATCCCTAGTTGATGGGTCTCTTTATTCTTGATACCTATCTCCCTGACAATGCAACGATATTGTTAAGAGAAACTACATGTTGGGCGCTCTTAGAGGTGATAAAAGGTGTTACCATACCCACATTCGCAATTAGCCAACCAGAAGCCATGCCTCTGTCCTGATATCCTGCGATATCAAGTCACTGACCCGATATGGCTACGATATCATGCTCGCTTGGCCGAATTTGGGTTGAGTAAATACCTCATCGTTCCTATTTGGTACCCTTCGGCGGAATATCAGGTTCGTTTGGTCTCGCCATGGGTATTTGGGCTCAACTATGTCTCGCCAAAATACGAGCCATGGCTCGACCAAACTCCTACGATTAGGTATAAAAATTACAGATCCATGAAACACATAATTATATATCCACCATCTTACAAGGAAGAGTGTGAAATCGTTTTCAGGCTGTACGTCAAGACATATTTAAGTTAAGAGAGTTTACGAGTTAGGGAATAGAAAAAGAGCCTGCAAAACTGCAATCTGGGTGTTATAAAGGCCTTTCCATTTACAAATACGCAGAACAGATGCAGCTAATGAGTGATTAAGGGTTTGCTCAATCCAAGAAGTACCATTCCGTATGGATAGTATTTGGAAGGGTGACCATATTTCTGTCAAAAATTATATACAAGGGACAGGGCTTTCCCGTATTTAACTTTGTTAGGTATCCCCACCCCACCCCTGTACAACATACCATTGGCATTTAGCTGCATGGTTTCAAATGGACCTATAAGTGAATACCGTAATCCAAGACCATCTGTCATAGCAGTGTCAACATCTTCAGGAGAGCAAATACCATCCTACAGAAAATACATACAATTAAGTTGCTCTGTTTTTCTCTTTTTATTTTTCTAAAAAAACTTGAAATAGACAAACAAGAAAAGCTACAGGATGTATGGTCGACCGTAAGGGTTAATCTGAAATTTAATTTTAATCTGAAAGTGTTTCTGGAGTGATGTAATTTCTAGATCAATCCAAGGCTGGTATTGAGTTTGAGTGTAGAGCCAGGTTGTCCAGCATTCTTGAAGAACCACCGAAAGGATTTTTAGTAACAGAATAAACCTAACATTTCCTTACATGTGAAAATATAGGTGACCCTCTGCAAATACCTAATTCGTCTTTTACCTTAAATTTTCTGAACTGATTAGTAGGTATTGGCCACAGTTCAGTTAAACCTTTTCCATCCATAGAAATCTTACACTTGAACTTTCTGTTTCTTGTCTGCTGGTCAACTAAATCAAGGACTCAGTGTAAAAGAATGCCCCTTCTCTCTCTCCCCTCACTATGTCCTACCTCTACTAGTCTCCATGCCTCCATAATAACAGCATACTGCAAACGGTTTAAAATGAATCCGTTCACTTCTTTCTTAATGACAACAGGTGATTGTCCAATGCCTTTCATTAAAGCTACTGTCTGGTCTACAACTTTACTGTCTGTCCAGGGAGCAGGCACAACCTCTACCAGAGGTACATAATATGGAGGGTTTATCTGAAAAAAGGAGATATTATTACATGCTGGCTTTACAATAAAAGTATTATCCTGTTTATACAGCACCCTTAGCTGTGATAACCAATTTTGTTTGACTCGGACAAAAGCTGACAGTCAGCCATCTTCTTACTTAGTTGCCTGTGGTTGAAACTTGTGATCCATCAGACTTTGCTTTCTGTACACAGAGAACATACTGAGTGCCCCGGGGAAGGGAGGGAGGGGGAGGAACTTCCATAGGAAACGGTAGAAATGCTGATTGTCTCATTTAGGGGTATGAATCAAGGATTCTGATCTCATTTAGGGTGTTATGAATGACAAAATGGCACTATT